CAGGGATACATTATAGTTCGCTTTCTCTCGAACAATCCTGGATTTTGGCTGTATCACTGCCATGTTGAAGCACATGCCGTCCAAGGAATGGTGGCGGTTTTGAAGATCGGCGAGGATCATCAGATGAAAAACATTCCGGCACGAGTGCGCTGTTGAGCATTTGTTTTTCGTTTTAAAATAATCATTTCCGCCACTTAAAATGCGCACTTTTTGTATCTGGGTGACCTGATTTTGCCAAATAGATTAAAAAGATTATTTATTTGAATTGCTTATTATTTTTTATTTATTTGCACTACAATTTAACAAATAAAAATGTATTTATTGTTACTGTCTGCACTTCCGTTTTTATCTTTTAATCCTTTAATTCCAGTTGAGCATATAAATGCTTTTTATTGAACTTATTACCGGTTGCACACAAAAGCTTGTTAGTTTAAAAACTAATCGCTTGGTCTTAACTTATCTGCTTGAGGCACTCAAAAATGTATTGATAATCTAAAAGAAGAATTTACCCCCATCAAACGAGGCGTTGTTCTGGCTATAAGCCCATTTAAAGAGCGGTAGTTATATATTTTACGACCTCTACTTGTACATGGGAAAATTTTTTTTTGATTAGAAAAGTCGGCTGACATCTATTGAATTATAATTTGCATTTGAGTGAAGTAAGTCTCAAGTGTGAATTATAAATCTGATAGAGCTTTCCAGCAATGAAGTGAGTCTACTTGGCGATGTCTAAGTTGCATCCGTTGAAGATAAGATTGGATTGGATTTGTTGGATTTACATAATTTAAGCTGAACTAATTGAAATTTTCAGAACATCAAAGTTTGGAGTACACTCGAAAATCACCCAAAACCCAAAAAAACCATCTAGCACTGGTTATTATTGAATTAAACCGATAAACCAAACAAGCTATTAAAATAAAGTGATGGAGATATTGAAACTTTCCCGTAAACACGTTACCTCAATCGGAAATCTATATTGTGCAATATCATTAGGGATATATGGTTCTTATTGTTGTATGTGATAAAGATTATGATGTTCCGACTACTTGAGTTTATTTGCTTTTAATTGGCTTATGCCGTTGATCGGTACGTATCAAATTAAGTACATAACTTAGTGCCCGACTAAAGTGTTTATAAGGGAGTGGTGATCAGAAAATTTTCACCAGTTCAGTTGCACAATGTATAGATCTCACATCGCTGTCTGTTGTGCCTTAGTAGGCATTTTCCTGGGAGCAGTTGTTCAGTCTGCTCCTTTTCCTAATGATCCTGCTGAGGTCCCCAACTTTTATGAATTGTTCAACAATCCCGATGCACACTTATCCCTGACCAATGGACCCGACACGGTAGGCGTGGCTCCCATTTTTTAGATTAATATATTAATATATATAAGCCCATTGTAGATTCATTTCATCGAGGAGCATGGCTATCCAGTTGAGCGACATTATGTGACCACCGAAGACGGCTACATTATCAGCCTCTTCCGGATTCCATACTCGCACAATCTGCAGAACCAGGAAGAGAAGAGACCCATTGCCTTCATACAACACGGTCTATTTGCCAGCTCGGACTTTTGGACAAGTCTGGGACCGGATGATGCTCTTCCTTTCCTGCTCTCCGATGCGGGATACGATGTTTGGCTGGGCAATGCTCGCGGAAACAGATATTCGAAAAACCACACCTCTCGCCTGACAAGCCATCCGAACTTTTGGCGCTTCAGTTGGCACGAGATTGGATACTTTGATATTGCCGCAGCCATTGATTACACCCTGTCCACGGAGAACGGCAAGGATCAGGCGGGTATCCACTACATAGGACACTCGCAGGGCACCACAGTTATGTTTGTGCTGCTGTCTTCAAGGCCGGAATACAACGACAAGATCAAGACGGCTCATATGCTGGCTCCTGTGGCCTTTATGGATAACATGGACGATGCCATGGTCAATTCCTTGTCTCCTTACCTCGGATTCAACAATGTCTACTCGACACTTTTCTGTTCCCAAGAATTCTTGCCCCAAAACGATTTCGTCCTGGCTCTGATGTACAGTGTTTGTCTGCCGGGATCGATTGTGCACCGATTTTGCAGCAGCAGTAACGAAACAACTGTTGAGCGAGGAAGAACTAACTCGGTGGGTCAAACAAAATCCTTTTATTATTTATTTTTTTTTAATTTTGTGTTTCCCAAAAGACCGCCTCTGGCTTGACTTCTGGAGTGATGCCTGCTGGTGTCTCCACGGATCAAATCCTGCACTACATGCAGGAGCATCAATCCGGGCATTTTCGGCAGTTCGATTTCGGCACCAAAAGGAATCTGAAGGCTTATGGTGCGGAAAGCCCAACGGATTATCCAACTGAGCTGATCACAACTGAGATGCATCTGTGGTACTCGGACAACGATGAGATGGCCGCAGTTAAGGATGTCTTGAGAGTGGCCAAAACGCTGCCCAACAAGGTGATGCACCATATGGAGGATCCACTGTGGGATCATATTGACTTTGCCCTTAACTGGGAGGTGCGCCATTATATCAATGACCCAATAATAGCCATTCTAGACGAGTACGAAGGCAAGGTGATACGGACATAGTCCAAATGCTTAGTTTACTTAGTTTTACTCAGGGTGCACTTCTGCCGATCCTATCATATCATATCGGAAACGGATGTCTCACCTTTCGGCATGGAACAGATTTGCACTTCAGACTCGACATTAATTTCCCTCATACTTAATGTACACATACATGCTTACTCAAATCATAAGATTTCACTCGACTTTCCTTACAAAAAAGTGAATTCCCCATTAGCCAGTTTGTGTTATAAAATATACTACTGCTTTTAAAATCTATAAGTGGTTTCCTAATCTTACACCTTTGAAGGGGGCACACTTTTTTTGGATTATCAGAACTTGTCAAGTGGCTTAAAAGTTGATAAGCAAGTAAGAGGCACGCCGTTTTGGAATACGTCAAACTAAAAACCTTTTGCAATGTTTTATTTTTGGTTTATTTGATATTTAATGTTTATACATTTTTCAAAATTCAATAAATATAAATGTTGCGATGGACCCTTTGCCCATTTGAGGATTTAATTCGTTCTGTGCATTACCTTTAGATTAGCACTTTCTGTTTTGTGTGGATTATCTTGACTGTCTAATATTAGAATACTATCAAACCACCGATAGAAGAGCTACTTGAAACTAAACCACCCAGGAATCGCTACAAAAGCTGAAAGTCATGTGTTTGCCCACAGTCAGTAGGCATCGGACCATTGAGGACATAAGTCAGTAGAATGAACCGAGTTACGGGAAGTTTACTTGTCCTGGTTGCTGTGGCCGTGGGTGCTGCTAATTCCGCAGCCATTGAGGGACCGATTGACTTCTACAAACAGTATGATAATCCAGAGGCCCACATAAGCCTCAAGAGTAAGGCAACAACGGTGAGTTGGATATTGATTGTAATTGAATGGAATTTAATTAATAACTGCCCACTTCAGGCAGACCGCACTGCGGCCCACGGATATCCTTCGGAGCACCATCACATAGTTACCGCGGATGGTTACATCCTGGGAGTCTTTCGAATCCCGTACTCCCACAAGTTGCAGAACCAGAACGAAAGGCGACCCATTGTCCTTCTTCAACATGGATTGTCGAGCTGCTCGGATGGCTGGATCCTGCAAGGACCTAATGATAGTCTGCCATATTTGCTGGCGGATGCGGGCTTCGATGTTTGGATGGGCAATGCCCGTGGAACTTCCTATTCGAGAAACCACACGACCCTCTCCCCGGATCACCCACTTTTCTGGCAGTTCAGTTGGCATGAGATCGCCATCTACGACATAACCGCCATCATTGACTACGCCCTTAGTACGGAGAATGGTCTGGGACAGGATGCCATCCATTATGTCGGTCATTCGCAGGGTACCACCGTATTTTTTGCACTGATGTCATGGTTACCCTCATATAACGATAACATCAAAACCGCTCACATGTTTGCCCCGGTGGCTATAATGAAGAACTTGTCCAGCGGATTGGTGCGAGCCGTGGGTCCATATTTGGGTCACAGGAACACCTATTCAGTGCTCTTTGGCTCGCAGGAGTTTTTGCCTCATAATGAGTTCCTCTTGGCCATATTCTTTAACATCTGCCAACCGGACTTTATGCTGCGTCCAGTTTGCGAAAGTGCCGTGAAGAAACTTTACGCAGGAGGTCGTGTGAATATGGTGAGTATATTTTGTAAAAAAATTGTATAACAGATTCTAATAGTAGCTAAATTATTAGACTGCTATGCCGGAAGCTATGGCAACCCATCCTTCAGGCTGTTCCACCGATCAAATGTTGCACTACCTTCAAGAACAACAATCGGGCTACTTCCGTCTATTTGATCACGGCACCAAGAAGAATCTAAAGGTCTACGGAACTGAGGAACCTCCAGAGTATCCTGTCGAGTTAATTGATTCCCTGGTGCACATGTGGTACGCCGATAGTGATGACTTGGCCGCTGTGGAGGATGTCGAGCAATTAGCCAAAAGATTGCCCAATAAGGTGATGCACCACATGGCGGATACGAAGTGGAATCACGGGGATTTCTCCCTGAACATGGAGGTTCGCAAATATATTAACGAGCCAGTAATAGCCATCATGAAGGAATTCGAGTCGAAGATCGGCGGGACGTGATGGATACGTTTCCTAATCTCAGATGTACTTTATACCTGCGGTAGTCGGATTTATTGTAAGTTTACAGATAAGCTAGTCACACTTTAACAAATGTTACTTACACAAAGGAAATATTAAACAAAATAGAATGCTATAGTCGAGTTCCCCGACTATCAGATACCCGTTACTCAGCTAGTGGGTTACCCGTTACTTTAATATAAAAAAGTCGATAACAAGATAAATATAGATACAAGTTCGGATGACAAGAAGGGCTGCTTAACTCTTTACGAACTTTAGCTTATGGATAGTCAACTTTTCAGACACTTTTCCTTGTAACCACAACCGCTTTTCATTCCCCCCGGCCACTTCACACATTTGATTTTTCCACTCGGCCAACTTCTGATTGCCAGTTGATAGCCGGCCAGTAGAAGGAATAATGCATATTCAAGCTTCTCATTCACATTTCATGGTTCTTGGCATCATCGCAACTCCCCCAAGGGCCAAGTCGGTTTCTGGGCTTTCGTCTGGTCATAAATGGGCCCGGGTGGATATCTAAAAAAAGGCAGAGCAAGATATTAAAACAGAGTCTGGCTTCTGGCTAATGGATGTTGGGGGATGGCAAGTTCAAGGCCACGACTTGCGTGGGCGATGAATACTCCCTGGGTCCGAATCTGGATTTGATTTAATTGGTCTTAATTTGTGAGCCGTGTAATCAATGGCACTGAATAGTTCTGTCTGTTGAGAAATACGCCTGCGATTACTAAACTGGATTAATTGAAGTTTACATGGCAGCGTGCTAATTTAGGAATTGTGTGTTTCGGCTTTTAGGTAGAAATTAAAGTATTTATACCGCGGCAAAATGTTTTTCAGCACTCAGTCAACGAGGCGTGGCAAGTAAAAAACACACGGAAGCGTTAAATTGGCTCAAGTGTGCACAGCACAAAACACACACAAAAACTATAAAGATATATGCGACAGGAGGATGCGACTTTGAGATACCTACTGTTCACTTGGTCAAAGGTGAAAACTCAAAGGAAAATACAACTCTAAAGAAAATTAGGCACATAAAGTAGAACCATGGCTATATTTTGGCGGTACAAATTGTTAACTTTTCCGAAACTAAGTTGGCCCTTAAACTTCTCAAGCTCCGAGTGCAGAAATGAAAAAGCACACAAGCAAAACTCAGCCAAAGTCAAGGCAACTGCACGGCGCTTTGAGCAAATGGAGCTGCAGTTGCAGGCGGAAATGGGAAAATTTCCAAACACTAACTGCACAAACATTCCGCTGACTTCAAAGGGCTGAAATCTTTTGGGTGGGCAAGGGCTGCTCCCAGAGTTAAGTATTTAATTTAGGCGTCAAGTCATAAGGCCAAAACGGTTGCGGTTCCCAGACAAATTAAGCCCAACCAAAAGGGTCAAGTGATGGCGCCTCGCCCACTTTTTGGCCATTATTTTGCATATGCTAAACTCGGTTTTTCATTTTTGGCTGCTTTTCACTTTGCTCGTCGTATAAAAATAATTAAATTCTGCCGCACTTTGTGGCATTTGTTTTCTTTTCTGTTTTTTTTTTTCAACGCCATAGTTACAGTAACCTCGTTTTATATTGCGGCCAGTGGCCACTATCTATGAGTTAGTTTGGCTACTGTATTCCACACATAAGTACTTTACACACGAATTTAAATCAGATTTTATCTTTGGTTTTATGGTTACGGTTACATTGTTCATCCCATTTTTAATCTTTATTATTTTACTATTGGGTCTTGTCTGGTAGCTAATACGTCAGATTAAAACTATTTATAGAACACGTCTGACTATAACTATTCGCGAAATGGGGAAGCGTTTCATGTTATCACATGTATTATGTGGCACGAGTTCTGTTTTAGTTTAATGTTGACTACTACCCTGCAATATCCAACTTTATTTCAATTGATTCGGGTTTTTCATGCGTTACTTTCTACTTAGCCACCTAAGCGATTTGAAATTATCTTCATGGTTTTATCAGTACCAACGTCATGCGTACTTATTTATTTATTTCGAACGGCTGCTCACATCTTAAGCTGGTCTTCTTGTGCCCCAAATAATAGAGAGCTCTTACTGCTGCTCCTTTGGTTTTTGAAGGCTGTCCTTGGATACAAGGGATTAGCTGCGTGAAAGATTACCGAAAAGCCGAAGTCACGTTGTGTGCGTTTTGTAGGTTTCTACAAATTGAATTTACCTCCACCATTCGACCCTGCAGCAGACGTAAGTAATTGCTGTAATTGATTGTCAAAAATCAATTAGTTGTTGTGTTGGCTAGCTATGCTGTACCTATAGAATATAATACCTTACAGCATATTTCGCTGGAAATGGTAGCCTTTGTGCAAGTGCAGTCGAGTAATTGGCGCACAATTCCATGTGTGATATCATAGCCATTGTGCGCCCATTAATGTGCATTAAATCCAATAAAATAGCGTACACATCTGATTGTGCTGAACTTTAACTTGATTTACTAGGCATTGCCGATCCGATATGGCCATGCCGCCTAACTTAGTTTGGCGTTTTCCAAAATGAAATGCTAGAAATGAAATTACTGTGAAATGGATGCCACCATTGGTGAAATTCGTGCACGACCTGGGTTGGCGCTTAGGGAATTTAGTATTAATTTATTGGACCATGTGCATCACGCATGTGTCACGTTCTAACCTTGACTGATCGCATTTGGTAAATATTTGGTATTCCTGTCTAATCTCCAGCGAACACAACGATTCGGCCAACTCCCCAACGCCTGGTTACCGTGTTGCCCACTATCACCATTCAATTTTTATCTAAAACCAGTAGCAGCCCGTTTGAGTCAGACCTCTGCCTATTATCGTGGAAATTTACCCTTTTTTGAAGTTGTAAAATCCATTCGTAGGGATATGCACTTTTATATACACTCTCGCGCCGGGGCAATAAAGCCGCGACAGACGCGACACGTCCGCGTACAAAGAAAGTAATTTACTATCTGACAGATCTCGGTCTGGCCAGAGATACACACCATCACACCCTGAATGGGGGGTGTGCACTTATTAACTTATCTATCCAGATCCAGATCCATCATGCCCCTGGCAATTTAGGCGATAAGGCTTTACACAAAAGCCTCTGCCCACACTCTTACAAGATTTGCGTGAATTACGATCGGCCAATGTGACGATGATGCTGACTTGGATAAGATCTCCGGAGATTTCTAACGCAGCTTGCGGCGGAAAATTAGTTCAGTGCTCGGCGGAGATTCGGATCATACACTTGTGTGTGCCCTCTTCCAAATCGAATTCAATTGTCCTGATTCCGAAACTCGAGGATAACGAGAGCGTGTGCGTTATAGATCGGTTTTCAAGAGCCTATCAATTTTGAACTACATTATTAGAAGTGCTTGGCCCGACTTTAGTTTGCTATTAAAATGATTTTGCACAGTATTTTCATTTATAAAAGCCATTGTGATGGAATACTTTGACCTTCAATTCGTCCGCGACACCTGAATTATTTTCAAATCATAAATAATTTGCCTAATCCTCAGTTAAGAATGCGAGTTAAGGCATTTATACGTTGTGCATCGTAACAGAAGCTAAAGCTGAAATTAAATTTCACCTTTACCTTTTATATTTTTTATATAACTTCCGAACAAGAAGCTAGGCGTTTCCGAGTGATTATCCTTTAAAATAACCCTTTAAGTCGGAAGTGGCCTTCTATGTGTACAAACGAACCATACTAAAGCAAAGTCGAATTCAATTCACAGTGATTGTGCGTGTGTTAAACTAATGCAAAAGTAATCAAAGCCGGACGCATTAAAGTGACGCGGCTGGAAGTCCATAAAAATAAACTACATAAAAGCAACTTGCGGTGCCGGAAATAATGTCAACCACTGCCGATCCCGTGGCGTTGGGGGCAAGCTCCCCCGTGGCGTATGGTGCCAAAACCGCCACAACGGTGGCCAATGCGATTGCGAAGACAGTGGCCGTAATTAGCAGCACGGTCTCAACTAGCTCCACAACTGGCGCCACTTTCACTTCCACTTCCACGCCGCCAACGAGTGCCACACCCACTACCTCGACCACTTTCGCCTACACTCCCACTCCCACGCCTACTCCCACTCCCTTTCAATCAGCATCCCCATCCCTGGAGGATGCCGAGCAGAAACTCAGCGTGAAGGATTTGAGCCAGGCCCTGCAGCATTTCGGGATTGTTGATTACTTGGTCTTCATCGCCATGCTGGCGGTCTGCGCCGTTATCGGCTTCTATTTTGGCTTTATCGAAAAGAAGCAAAAGAAGCAGAAGTTGGCCGGCAAGGACGGCGGTGGGGCGGCGGGCATCGAGGAGAGGCGTGGCTCGGAGGCGCTGGACTACCTGGTGGGCGGACGCCAAATGAAAGTGTTTCCGGTCGCCCTGTCACTTGTGGCCAGGTGAGTTACAGCCTCTGCTGGGGCTATGTATATGCAAATGGTAAATTGGCCCGGAGAATTTAATCCTGGCTGGCCAACGGGATGTGCACAGCAAGCAATTTGAATACATTTCCAGTTTTCGTAGAGACAACACGGTTCGAACTATTTTTATGTACTCTACAGTTCAACTTATGTTCAAATAATGAGTTCAGCTCTTAGAGACAGAAAGCTGATTTTAATGAAAATACATTTTTGTATGATTTAAATGATTTTTCTCTGTGGAGACATGCTTAATTATTTTTGACACGGCCGCAGAGAAGGTTGAGCATCCTAAATGTGGCAGTGTGGCAGGAAGGAAGCTTGGATATTTATTGCACGCCGCTTTAAGCCGGCATAATCCGCAAAAATCGAATGCTCTGCACTCGCTTGAATGCGGCTAATATTTGCACAAATTATCGTAATGGGCTAAGCCAAACCCACGCAAATCAATCAAAATACTTTCAGTCATTTCGCCTTATTCCGTGCCATTGGCCAAACGTGCGTATACGTAATCTAAGCAAAATAGATAATCTGCCCCAGCCCAGCATTGTCTGGCGAAATGTTTGGCGAGGGCAAACAGTGGGGCATTTTATTCAAAAGTTTCCGACTCCGGACAGGGAATTGCGTAAACAATATTCATTGTCAGGGTCAATGGATGAGTGCCATGGTGTTATGTTGGTTGGATGCCTTTGGATTGTGGTGATATTGAAATGGCTTGCGGAACTTTGCGAGTAAATATATATGTGGCATATAAATACAACTTAGCAGCTCGCTGTGTCTAAGCCGGATTGAAGTTATTTAAACTTGTGCCTGGCCGCAAACTCAAATAATTTGGCCAAATTACTTTTTCTTTTGCTGTTCGGCCGGCCAAGTGACCTTGGACAGGCGGTGTGGGAAGTGGGATGTCTTGTATTTGACACGTTTTGGTCAAGCACCTTTCGAAGGGTGCGGTCCCTTTGTCTTAGCCGTGTTCTCGACGCATTAATGACCGGGTCGACAGGTCCTGTTCTTCGAAATCCTGGCCGTGCTCTTGGTCATTTGCCTTGCCCAATGACAATTGTTTCGTGAGCCTTTTATTGTTATGGCATTCTATTTGTTGTCGTTTGCTTTTTGCAACAAATTCAGCCAACGTGCTTTGAATTACAATTACATGGCACAATTTTTTCTCTACAAAACGTCCTCTCTTGTTTGCAGATTTTTTCAATTTTTTTGTAAAGCAAATTGTTTCGTTGTGTGTGTCTGCATACTTTAACGCCGCTTGTTATCAACTTTTAATGGCATTTTCCTCTCGGCCATCAACTTTCTGTGCCTATGGTGGCAATTCATTTTGTTTTGCGGCCAAAATTGAAATGATGATTGTTATGGACATTAATCATTAAAATCAGATTACGAAATGCAGGGCTAAGAAAAAGTTTGCTCCGCCAAATGCGACTAGACATCATTTGTTTTGGACTGCATTAAATTCAGAGCAGCAACACACATGCTACAAATATACAAAAAGTATCTTTACCTTCGATAGAAGACCAATTTTCAAGATTCAATATGGTGCCACAATGCCCGAAGGCTTCGCCAATCGATTACCTTAAATTTATTTTCAAAAGTTGACCCACCTTCGTTATAACTTTGACCGACAACTAATTGACCATAACTTAATTGAATTAAAAAATTTCTTCGAGCTTACTTTGTGGGATGGCAAAGACGAAATGAAAACTTTGACGGAGCCCCAAAATAGATCCTGATCAATCGACTGGCAATTAGCCTCGCTGAACTTGAAGCTCAAGACACAATTAGCGTGAACTAATTGTTGCTCTTTCACTTTCAGCTTTGTGTCTGGAATCTCGCTTCTGGGTACTTCCACGGAAATCTATGTCTACGGAACGCAGTACGCCTTCATCCTGGTGACCCTGGCCATCTCGGGAGCCATTTCGTGGTACATCTTCCTGCCGGTGTTCTGCAATCTCCAGCTGACATCCACCTATGAGGTAAGCAGAGCGTTGTCCAATCCGAGTGAATTGTGTGTGTTTACCTATTGGACTGCATGTTACGCATTAATTCTATGTCTTTGCGTGTACGAATTTGGATTTTTTGATATTCGATGGCATGTGTAAGTAAGACTCGAGCCCAACTACGAGCGGGGTGTACATGCAAAACATGCAAAAAACACGGAACAAAACCGGCATGCAACCAGCTGTAAGAACTCTTTGAATGGCTGTTTATTTGCATGCAGCAGATATCCACGAGGTTGGGGCGCACAAAGCCAGCTACAATAAGCCCGAACAATACCAATTGTGCGAGCTGACATACGGATAGTCGTAGTTTATAAGTTGGTGTTGGCTACATGTCGTATGAGTAATACTCGATTATGTATGCGCCGCGTTGCCGCACACACACACACTCACGAGACCACTGCGTGTGGCAGTGTGTGCGTGTGTGTGTATATTTGGGCAATCCTTACTGTGTGTTAAACAAAAGACAACAAACCATTGGAAAAAAAATATTTGCAGTATTTCGAGATGCGCTTTAACAAATCGGTTCGTCTGCTGGGATCCGCCTTCTTTACGGGTGCAAATGTAAGTCTAATCCAATTACAAGTGAAGAGAAAATCGTTACACTTCTTCAGATCCTGAGGGAATGCTGCTAAAGCAAGTTTAATGCTAACTTAAGTGTTTGCTTTTTTTTTCCTAGCTTATCTGGCTGCCCATCGTCATCTATGTGCCTGCACTGGCTTTTAATCAAGGTAAGATTTTCTCCGAGCATCGAAACTTAAGGGTACAAGTTTTAAGGGATTTAAAAAACAGAAAATAATAAAGCGTACTTATTGTCAAGAACCCTACGTAGACGTTATGATGGCATACATCGTAATCCTTCTTGAGCAGGATTACCAGAACTTTACGCAACGATCTGATCCCCAATTATGCAACCCTAATACTGCGGGTTTTTAGTTTCTCCCAGCAGCTTTGCCGCAAAAAACAAACCACATTATTTGAGCGTAACGTAAGCTTATTTTTCCAGTTAGTGGAATAAATGTCCATATCATCACACCAATCGTATGCCTCGTCTGCATATTCTATACAACGGCTGGGGGGCTGAAGGCCGTGGTCTGGACAGATGTGATCCAAACCGTCATTATGGTGGGTGCGGTTATCTTTGTCATCATAAAGGGCACCCTGGACGTGGGCGGACTGGGCGTGGTTATGCAGCGGAATTTCGACAGCGGACGAGTCGAGTGGCCTGAGTGGGTACAAAACTAATTAAGGTTCTCGACATGTATTAAATGAACGTAACTTGAAAACAGATTCACACTCGATCCCAAAGTTCGCATGTCCATGTTCGCCATGATGGTCGGATATGTTGGCCACAATGCCTATCAGTTTGGTTGCAATCAAATGATAACCCAACGATACATGTCTCTTCCTGGTGCGAAACAGATGGCTCATACATCGTTCATTTTTATCGTTGGATTGGTTATATTGCATGCACTCTGTTTGTACAATGGTCTACTTCTATACGCAACTTACTACGATTGCGATCCGCTGACAACCAA